AGATCTGACCAAACATATTCGTCAGTATAGCTATTAATTTGATTGGAAACTATAGCCCGCTTATGAATACACCAATCCCGTTAATTATTATTAGAGCGGATCGGAATTTGGTTTCCGTAAATGCTTGGAGTCTTCTTTTCCATCAAACATGAGATCCTGAAATTGCTTTAAAACGTCTACCTACGAATGCTACATAGAACATAAGCCCTGGTTATTATGAAAAATGTTTTATAAGAAAGTGCAAAGTACCAAAGAGGTTTACATGGCAGAAAGATCCCAATTCACATACAATGGAAAGGGTTTTGGAGACCGTTTTATGATGGTCTGAGCCAAAATATAGAGGCCGCATTTATTTTCGTTTGTATTTTTTAATTATTTCTGTTAATATTATTTCCCTTAGTACTTTTATACATTGAACCACTGAATAAGTGTATGTATTATTTTCTATATGATTCTTCCAATTTATTATTAATTTATAATTTTGTGGAAAGTAAAATAATTTGTAAAATAAAATTCATAAGGACAATACAGTCTGAAGATACTATTGGCTTAAAATTTTCAATTAATTTTAAAATTATTGTTTAGCGAATTAATATTTTCATCATTCTTTAGAATTATAGATTTTTTCAGTGTCGAAAGATGAAATTGAGGAGCGTACAAGTTACAAGGTCTAGGCCATAACACACTTTCGAACCGAAGTCGAAGTTCTTTATTCCGTTTTGCTCCGCAGTAATAACAGTAGCTGTTCACTATTTTAATGGACAATACGCAATAGAAACGTTGTGTGGATTATCAACTGAAATGAAAGTACGTAATACACCCGCACAAAATGCTCATGTGATCCTACAGATTCATAAGATGTAATGCCATCGGGTAGTATCATCTGGTTGCTATTATTGAAAATACTCATATCCTAAATGAGGCCGTTTGCTGAGATCCCTTCCTTGGCCAAATTCACGAGCTAGACAAAATTCAGAAAAGAGCCGGTGAATTTTCTAGTAACTGATTCGCTAAAAAATAATAATTACCATTTTCAAATCGCGGAAAGGTGGCTAGGCTTAGCGTTTATATAAGGCGTATGTCGGCAGTCCTATTTAGTAGAGGGAATAACAATTTCAAATTTCGGAGACGAACGCTCCTTTCTAAATCTAACAAGAAATGACTGGAACAATTTACCAGCTGAAGCATTTTGGACTGGCCGTGAAAGTGTAAATACATTTAGGAAATATATAGTGATCTAGATGTAATGTATTTGTGTTGCGCGTCTGGCGTTGTATTGTTTTCTATGTTAAAATGGGATTTAATTCTATAATATTTGTTTTATATACATTGTAATACCTCTTAGAAATCGCTCACCAGTTATTAAACCCTATGCAGATTAAATATATCAGAAATATATTCTCGTATCTAATAATAAAAGCAATGCTTAAGAAATGAACGCACATTACTATTAGTGCAGCCAGTTTACGGCCAAAAATAAATCGATATCCGATAGGAGAATGAATTGATGCCTTTGTCTCGGGAACAAGTCTGTTTCCTGCGACGGGGCGGCGCGCGTCCTCGCTGGAGAATGCGGCCCGAAGCCCGAGCTACTCGCAGGCGCGTGCGTCTGGCATCCCGCCCAGTGTGGCCCAGCTGTCGCCTCACGTAGGCGGGGTTATCTGTTTGTTGGCGCTTCCTCACCCGATGGAAAAAAAAAGTCCGTCGATGCTGCTGCCTTCATTACGAAGAAGCTTCCTAGAAGACACCGCGAAACACGTTCTGCGAGAAGGAGCAACATCGGTGTACTTTTTTGTTGTTGTTTTTTGTTTCGTCGTGCGAAGTAAATCATAGCGTGAGGTGCAGCTTTTTAGTTTGAATGTGACAGATTTCAAGAAGGCGGTTGCTGTGGAACGTAACGAGGCGAGAAGGGCATTGGGAATATACAATTTCATTGAGTCTTTTCCTCATTTTCGGGAGCACATTGAGCTTCTTGGAAATATTTTTGTGTTCGTTCTCTGAAGCAAATAAGAACTGGACACCAAGAATCACTTGACGAGAGAGGCTAGAACGAGAATAGAATGTACTTGGAAGTCATCCCAAAGTTTCTTTAATTTCTCTGTTATATATTTTATTTCATTTAATAGCTATTATTTTTCAAATTATTTAGTACTAGCAAAATGCCCGGTGTTTCCCGGGCTTACTTCATGTCTAATCCTTGTGAAAGAGGAAAAAGATTAATTTTATATAAATTACTATGTTTAAGATTAATATTTTTAATGTAATTGTAAGTTTTAATTAAATACTATAATTTTCTTTCATTTTATTTTTCAGTACATTGCTATTAGATTAAAAATAATATCTTACGGACTGGTACAGGTATTTATCGAACCTTTTAGGAACCAGTTCTGCTGCACCGCTACTAGCCTCTGGAGGAATATATTAGGCGACATATTAGGTGAAAAATAATGATCATAGTGCATGTACCAACGTATTATTTAAATTATTTATTTTCCGCATTTTGGTTGTATTAGTCGTTACCAAGCTCTGCAAGAACACTACGACTCCTGATGAAGGGCCTCTAACATTTCGTATCTATTCATACGCTCTTTTTTTGTAGTATCAATGTCCATTACATGTCATTGAATTCACTTTTAGTAGTGTAGATGTTATAAACTAAGGGTATGCATTCAATAAGACTCATGCTATTGCTGAAACTCGTGCAGAGAGTTTCGTCCCTAAATGTTTAGATGAGAAATAATTCGTTAATAGTGTAGTTTTCTGAAACCATCATAGATAATTTTCACAAAAGCTGATTAGCTCTCCCAACATCCAAGTTCTTCAGTAGAAATCCCCTTGTCAGGGAACCTTTGTATCGAATTTTTTTAATTATAACCTATCAAACATTCATTTTTTATCTTGTATTATTTGTTTGAAATAGTATGATTTTTAGGAGCCTCAGTGATGCAATGTAACCTGTGGCAAAGGTTTTAGCAATTATTATTATTTAATTATTATTTACAACAATTTTTAACAACTTGTTGAGTACGTTCCAAAACCCTTTCAACTACAAGTTTCATTGAATGTAAAAACACTCACCAGATTTTGATTTCTCAGAATGCTTGTTACGTTTAAATAGCATACCTCTGTTTCCTCATTCATTTAGGTTTTCTTTGAATTAATCAGTCACCATTTCATGTGCAAAAAGATGAAGGATCCAGTTAGGAGCGGAAACAGCGTTCATTACTCTTTGAAAAAAAGCATAATCAAAATATTGGTAAAATATTAAGTTTTATTAATTGATATTTTACAAAGAAATTACCTTACATTAGAAACAAAATTTGTCTTAACAACTAGAAACACAAGAAATATTACAAATGATGTCGATAAATAATACGTCTCGCGTACTCAACAATTAAATTAGGTCTCTGGAGATTCGGAAGAACGTAGTATGTGTACGTGCAGGCAGAGCACCACATAAATACAGACCGATTCTTTGTAGGAGGTCGCTGCAACGCGATGGCAGCGGCCCTGGAATGTGGCCACGACGTGTGGCCTTCACAGTCTCTCTGACTCCCTAGTCATTCCTTATAACACTGCAGTGCGCGGAAGTATTCGAGATGTTTAAGTGCCGATGATTGATCTACTCATATTTTTGTTGATAATAATTGTGAAGAAATTTAATTTCATCCATTATTGCGTGCATCAGTGTGTTCGTGAAAGAAATGTAACAATGATATTGTATAGAGGATATTGAAGTTATGCCTTATCAGTTTGTGGTCATTTTTTAAAAAATTGATATGGAAAGGAATTGTTTATATTAGGTTTTTGTTTAGTGCAATTTATAGTCCCTGAGACACTATGTTGTGCGTGGCATGACAATTGAAGATTCTTGCAGTACTGTATATTAGACAAAAGGATGGGATTCTGTTTGATTACTTGCACGTTTTCATGATGTAATTAATGGTGAAAAACTTTCGTGCTCGAGTTTACTCTAGACAAATGCGTCATAGAAAATATCATTATCATGTTGTCGCATGATTCAGATAAGACTATTTGATCCATCTCCAATATTGGTTATTCAAATGAAGTACGTCTCAATGACGTAAGGAATATCAATCGTATTAGTTCAAGTTCTGAATCTGAATAACTATAAATCTGCAAGCTACAATCAAAACGAAGAAAATACGTCAGATTTTGAAACATTCCTTCCACAAATAAAATCGTAGTATGAAGTAACATATTTGCGCACTGCAGTCTCATTGGAAATGCGTTCTAGGCCTAGCTTCACTCAGCAAGATTGCTTAACTCCTCGAACTCACAATTTGTTTGCGATTAAGTGCATAACTAAATGCGTCGCCTCTTTAACGAAATGGAGGCTTCTCGAATCAATTGCTGCTCAAAGATCATTTCAAATGGCGACACGTGTGAGATAAGCATCTAAAGTCGAACTAAGCACGAAAAAAACAAAACAACAACAACTGTCATTGGGTGAGCGGGTTGCATGCGGCCGCGCAGTAGTTTGGACCGGAGCTGCACATCCGACGCCGATGCTTCCTGGTTGGACAATGGGGTTTGCTCGCGCACCGGAAGTCGATTTAAGACGAGCATGGGTGAGCCAATCTGGAGATTGTGGCATGAACCGACGATTTTCAACAATGACCAACCGGAAATTACACGAAGAAATAACACGTTGAAAAAAAGATGCATTAAAAAATGCTTTCATATCTGCTTAAATGACTTGTAACAAGGTTATAATTGTTTTGGTATCTGGATGCATTTAAAATTCCTGCTAATATTGTGACGTAAACTGGTTCACAAAACCTACTGCCTGAAGACAGATAGGCTTTGCAGCGGCTCACCCATGTCATTGCATCATTGACGAGCGTCATGTGTCCGTGAACCTATGGTCCCATGGACCCATGCCATTCAGCCATGGGCGAGCATCATATCACTATGGACCCCATGGTGCATCATATCACTATGGGCCTATGGACTCCATGGATCCATGACATCGCGACATGGACGAACATCATGTCACTGCCCATGGACCCATGGAGCCCATCGACCCATGTCATTGCAGCGTGGACGAGTATCATGTCGAGTACCATGGAACCATGAACCCGATGTCATTGCGTCATGGACGAACATCATGTCACTCCTATGGACCCATGGAGCCCATCGACCTACGTCGTTGCGGAATTGGACGAGTATCGGGTCGAGTATCATGGACGAGTACCATGGACCCATATCATTGCGTCGCGGTGCCCAGCCCCGGGGGATTTGGAGCCCTGCGCGGTGGCAGGCGTTTGGAGGAGGTTCGAGTGAAAGCGTAGGCCGCGAGGAGGGGTGTGCGCGTGGCGCGGAGCGAGCGCCGCTCGCGGCGGCGGGGAGGCGTGCGCCTAGCCGCGTACGGCCGTCGTCGTACTCGAAGTCGTCCTCGTGCTGCTGCTGCTGCTGTTGCTGTGCTGCTGTTGCTGCGCGTGGTAGGCGCGCTGGTTGTTGGCCGGCGGCCGGCGCTGGCTCACAGCGGGATGTTCACCTCCTCGGGCGAGTGGAACACCTGGTTGGGCCCGGGCTGCGGTTACGCACCTGTTGGCCGGGCGCGCGCCGGCGGCGGCGGCGGGGCCGGGCGGCGGCCGCCACCTGCTGCACCGGCCGGGCGGGGCGCTCTTCGCCCTCCTCGTAGTAGTTGTCCGGGTAGTAGCGGTCCGAGTAGCGCAGCGTCACGTTGGGCTTGGTTTGCGCTTCCTCGGCGTTGATGGGCCGGTACAGGTAGTCGTTGACGAAGTGGAAGTTGGAGGACTGCTTGCAGATGTTGTCGCCGCTCGGGGGCATGCAGATCAGGTGCACCTGCGAGACACAAAGACACCGAGGTTAACTGATTTGTCCTTTCGGATCGGTCACTCTTAGCCACTGCTGAGCCATGTTGCATTATGAGTGATGTTTCTATGGGATTTGTGGTGGTTTACGTTTGCCTTCCTCAGCCCTTCATTATTTCCCTTGCCCGGGATACGAACTTAGAACCACACGTTCCGCGCTAAGCGATTGCTACCGCGGTGGGCAGAGGCAGTATCGTCAGTACTCGTAGAAGTGATACTCTCTATGAAACGTAATAAAAAATATCCGAAATTACTGTTTGAATTATGATAACTGAAATCTGTTTGGAAAATAAGTTTTTTCCTCAACCTATCTCCTGAACATTTTACTTATTTTGCATTGGTGTTTGTCATATCGTAATGCTTGTTTCCTGGAAGACCTTTGTGAGAGAAACACATTCCGCAACAGTTTTACGAATGAAAGTACGTCATAGTTTTAAGTAAATTGTGTACAATGTAATTTTATTATGCTTAGTTAATTGACTTATTTATTTTAGAGATATTTAAAAAAAATTCAGCAGATTGTGAAATATATATTCTAAAATAAGAGCCCTTATCTAATATTTATAATTTTGTTTATAAGTTTATCGTGGCATTGCTTCTTTTATCACATATCATTTCACGTAACATTCCATCACATATATATGTGTATCTTCAAATAATTATCTAGTGAGAAATCACGAGCAAATATCTGTAGAGTAAAGTTTGTAATATAATTAATGACAATTGATTTTGAGACAGAAGAGTAGAGGGTGTGGTGGAATTTTGAAATATGCATTTGAGAATACAATGAATTGCTAATTACATTTTTCTTAGCATCTATTTTTTCTTATTTTAGTGATCAATCAAACATATTCTTTAGTTGACATTTCTGGTACCCTGACCTTCAGTGTCTGTCCCACTGACTGAAAACAGTTGTATGATACTTATTTTGTAAGACATGTTTCGTAATACTGGGTTGTGATTATTTTATCACTGTTTACTAATGAAAGGTCGTTAGTCACACAACAAAAAGAGTTAATCATGTTCGTCTTATTTACATTCTTGTTTCTATTTTCTTTTCTATTTGTTTTATTACCAATATTTCTGAAATTTAGAAATGTATCGTTTAAACGTTTGGGTCTTTAAGTTTACAAAAAACAATCAAATAAAATTCACAGCACTGGAACTTTATTTCACGTAGTGTAGATCAGAGCCCCCTATTTATGTAGAGACAGTTTCATTAAAACTTTTGCTGTAAAATATTTAAATTATGTAATAAAATCAAATATCAATTCTGTACATTTTTTATTTTAACTCATCTTATTATATTTCATATTTTAATTCTAATCGATAAATACTAATATATTTATTTATTTAATTATTATATTATTACCAACGACATCTAATTTTCAAATATAATATTTTTTGTTTATCTAATAAGTTATTTTACATAAAAAATATTGAAATATTCTAACTAAGTTGCATCTGTCAAAAAAAGATAGTGAATTTAGATATGTTCAGGCTTTATTTTAAATTTTGTTGGCTCTCTCGAATTGTGACGTAAATTGTTCCGCGTTGTCTGAGTGACGTGCTTTTTCCTGTGATTCATGGGAATTATTAGTTACTTAGTGTAATAGCACACAGTGCACATTAATAAATTGTAATGTGAATTAAAAATGTTCATTGAATGGATAAAGAAACAAAAATAATAAAAGTATAATTAATGTAATATTAAAAATCCTTTAGTAATACGGTAAGAGAGGCTAAATATAATTTTGAAATTTTTATTTTGTCGACGTGTTGCAACTCGTCTAAAAGCACTGATGGCAGTGGATTTTGAAAGTTGAGTGTTTGCCAACTGGTTGTCATTGAAAACTTAATACTGATGTACTATCGTTGTTAAGGAAAGATTATGAGCTTTCTCGACTTTAATATCTACTTCTGAATTACAACTCTGCTCTCAGCTGATTTTTCTAAAAATCGTTAGTCGGCACTTCACTAATAACTGCATTCGGTTCAAATGAAAAATAGTGATATCAATTGCGATTCCGTTTCCATTCCCAATTTAATACAAAATAAACCTCCGAGAAGGTCATGCTTGATAAGGAGTGTTGTTTTATTCATAGACATGGGAGCACGTGGGCATCTTTTCTGCTCTGAAGTATGTGGCCCTTTGGGTTCTGTTCGCGACTGAACTTAAAACGGTACGTCTTCCTCTAAATTAGTAAAATATTATGTCAATGAAATTTTTCATTATTTTTGTTTCTTTATCTATTCTATTAACATTCATACTTTACATTTCGATTTATTTAAATGCTCATAATATATTACACTTTATAGCGAGAGTAGATGTAAAGAGAGACGCGATATACGACTGATCACAAAATCTCCGTCATTTATTGGCTCCAATGAGATTTAAATTAAATTTTTACAAATGATAATTACAACAGTTATGGCCATTTAAATGCAAAGAACTCCAATGAAGTTGCTTTTTATATTTGTATGTTTTACTGATTTTAAAATTTATCCGATTACGAGGTATGTTTGCAATTAGTAATAACATATAGGTCAGGCCGCTTTATGAGTTATTCCAACAGAGAGTGAGTTACCAAACAAGTAGTAACATATAGCCTAGTAGCAGCAATGAGAGCAGCCTTGACACCCAAACAAAAGTATTGCAACGGTTCGGTTTCGCCTACTCTTGAAGCGCGGCTGCAATACTCTGCAACCTGGGAAATGCAGGTGGCGCCAATGCAACATCTCGGGTTCGCCGAGTGGAACCTGGAAACCCGCGTCGGCCTCCGGTTTCTCCGCCGCCTCGATCGCTCTGAGCGGCGGTGACGAATCGATCGAGGCAACAGCGGGTGCTGCGGTACTCTTGTCACGCCTTCTCAGACACAAAATGGCTTCGGGTTGATCGCTGGCCTCAGGCGGATCGCGATAAAATGCGACAGGGTTTTCTTCGTAATCAAGCGTACAATTAGTCACTCGTACAGGTTTTTACTTGAGTTTTCGAAGCACTGCGAACTATTTGTGCAGTTTGTTTTTCAGTTCTCCAATTTGCGTTTCAATTGTTGATATTACGGCAGTTGGGTTAAAATTTAAGCACGACGCAGCTTGTAGGTACTTGAAGATAACTAACTACCTTGATTAACAAAGGCCTTTTCCCAAAACGTAATGACGCATTATAACAAAAGTAAATTCAAACAAACTGCGAATTCAAAGGAACTCTCGTTTTCGTGAACTGGCTAGTGAATATTCTTTGTTAATTTCATAAGAAATAGGTTCCTTCCGAATCTGTAGAATATTTAATGTTATTAAAAATAGAGAAGGATCGAACTAGTGTAGTTGTGAGAGTAATGCGGAAATTTCAATGATTTTAATCACTGTTTCTACATACGTAGACTTGTGTCATATTGAGTGGTTGTTCAAGAAGAGGAGAAAGAGAAGAGGAGTTACAAATGTCATCTAACACTCAACTATATACATTTTGGGAAATTAGGTGGTTTCCTTGTGACTCTTGCTTTATGAAACGACTCACTAATGTAAACTTGAAAGTTCTTTTCCTTTGGAATTCACTTTTACTTGCGTGACAATGAGATAAATGTAACTTTCTCATCGGACTTTGATAAGTGACCATTAGAGAAACTTCAGTCCCAGAATGTTGGAGCGATCTCTCTCGCCTTTAAAAGGTACTTTGAAGCTTGAAGACTTCTTTTGGAAGACGTAATGAATCTGCAGTAAAGCAGAAGGGAATGCCTCAACTCTACATTTTTTGAATTATGATACTATTAATCGTTATAAATTGTAGTCAAGAATGCATTATTTATTCTTATCAATAAATGTCAATTATATTGGTCAATTATTAAATCAAAATATGTGTTGAAACAAATTTTAACTTTGTTGTAAAAATATGTTAGATATTCGTAAGAAAGAAATGTCTCAATTTATATTCAATACTATGAAACCGTAGATAATATAATTTCACTAAAATTACTAAACGCAATTACGCGTTTCTTTGCTTGTACTGAACAGAATCAGATATTATAGGAAGGGATATTATACTTTAAGTGCCTGTCTCTGGAGCTACGTACATTCATACTGCCGCTTTACTAACAAGGAGCTAGAAATCATGGTGTGAGTTTAAATATATTTTCGGCGTAGAGAGAGGATGCACCCCTCAATTCATCTTGCTATTTAGTAGCTTCAAAAACAACTTACTAGGTGAGAAAAGATGATAAAATCGTACTTCTGAGTGGGATGCATATTGAAATGTCACTTTCACTAACCTTCGTCTCTTCACTGTTTACCTTCATTACTAATTAGAGAAAGCTTAGCATGAACCATCCCGGGAAATATTAATGAAACTGAGTAAGAGAGACTGAATGAGGGCGTATATGTACAGGAGTCTCAGAATAAATGTCACAAATTTCTAAGGTATTGAGAAGGATCGATGATCATTTTTTACCAATAAACATGTGGTGGTAAATTTCATATAATGAAGTTACACATGTAACATTTGCTCCAGTTTGGTGAAAAACCCATCATGCTTTGCATATTCTGACGCGGTGAAAGGAATTTTATGTGCCTGTTGAACACCAACCCAGGGTGGGTTGCCAAACACTCAGGAGCAACTCATCTCTCTGAGTGTGTGTGTGTGTGTGTGTGTGAGACGCATAATAAGTTATTTTTATTGTTGATAAAAAGCAAGAAGAAAGAAAACTAAGAACGTGTGTAACTCCAGTCAGGCGCTTAATGTATTATTTACCTTCGTATAATATCTGATTCTCTTTAGTACCAAGCTAAAAACTGAGCAATTGCATTTATTAATTTTGTAGAATTTATATTCTTTAGAGTTTTATTGTATCGAATATAGAATGAGAGATTTCTTTCTTTTAAATACAACTTATTTCTATGAAGCAGTTAAAACATTTTTAAAGACATTTTGATTTACTAATTGATCAATATTGTGTTGGCAAAAAGTTATCACTTTCGTCTCCCCTACGCGCCTTAGAAGTTTGTAACATTCATTCTGGGACACTGTATACGAGGTAGAAGAGAGAGAGAGAGAGAGTGCGACTGACCTGGTGGAAGAGGAAGCCCTCCGGGCAGATCCACGAGTGGCGCACGTTGTCCTGGCAGTAGTGGAAGACCTCGCAGTTGAGCCCGTCGTCGGCGTAGTAGCCGGTCTTGCGGCTGTGGCAGTCGAACTTGGACTGCGGCAGCAGCAGGCTCAGTTTGTCGGGCTTCTCCTCCTCCAGCTCCTCCTCCTCCAGCGGCTCATCCTGCACACGCACCCACACGCTCACCCTCTGGCCAGCACCGCCGGGACGCACCGGACGATACATTTTGGGAAACGGTTACCATCTACGTAGTGGTAGCACTCAGTATTCCATTTGTTATTGTAAATACGATTTAATACGGTTACCATCTACGTAGTAGCAGCTCTCAGTATTCCATTTTTAATTGTAAATACGATTAAAGCTTGACAACAAATGGGAGAGTATTTGAATAAAGGTTGCCGTAAATTTGTTGTAATTATAGTTAGGTCCATCTCCTTTACACTCAGTTTTGATGTTAAAGATTTCGGTTACACTCAATTTTGCTGAATTACTATCGATCCCGAATTATGCTGTTAACTTTGTCAGTAGAACTACCTGGAAAGGAATCGTACCTAATTTTTTAACCAAAGATGGGTCAAATTATAAAGACTTTTAAAACCAATACTCTGAGAAAAATTGTGGACAAAATAGATTTGTTCAGGGAAAAAAATATAGAAGTGTCAGATACTTAGTAACTTTCAAAAGATGCAAAAAAAGTTTTAAATAAGTTTGAGAAATTGGTATAAATATATATGAGCAGAATATCACTGGGCAGTTGTCCACTGGTGCATTGTCCAAAATAGCACTGGGAAAAGTCACATATTTCTCGGCTGTGGCAGAAGATTGCAAGAAAGACCGCCAAAAAGAGGGATTTCTAATCTGTCTTACACAACAGGGAAGCTCAAAAGAAGACGAAGAAAAAGAAGAAAAATGGAAAGAAAAGTATTTTTGAAACTCAGAGAATGGTCAAGTTCGAAAAAGCTCGGACTCACCCAAGATACTGAATACCACTGTTTTCAGAAAACGAAACTGTAAAATGTATAATTTCGTTTTATAACGACCGCTCTGAACCTACAATTGGGCACACTGGGTCACACATCGCTTTACTTTCACGTTCCCGAAAATGTTCCACCAGAGGGGATTTGGCCGCAAAATGACAGGTTCCCCCTCCCGTCCTGTCCCGTCCCCGCGCGAGCCCGTGTGCCACGGAGTCCTCCGCGTGCGTGCGCGGGCCGTACAGCTGCGCCGAGGCTGTGCAGAGCGCGAGGGCGCAAGAAAACAAGTGCGTGCCGACCTCCTTCGCCGCGGCGAAAGCCCCCGCGGGGCACGCGACCCCCCGGCGCCCGCAAAAAGACGCTCCACACACCCGGCGCCAGCGCTCTTTTTGCCCCTCTCGCCTCCGCGCCTACGGTCGCCGCCTACGGCGCCGGTCGCCTACGTAGAAAGCGGCGCCCTCGGCCCCCTGCAGTCCTCGATGCCCTATGGCTCGGCCCGGACTTGTATTAATGAAGCTCAATGATTGATTAGTTATTCCTGGCGCGTCAACGGCTAAGGTCATTTCCCCCGTAAGTGTAGTTCATGTTTTAATCGTGGAAGATTGCTGGAATTTTCCGGGTGACTGGCGAGATCCGGCGCCGACCTATTCGGCGGTTTACGGGGCTTTCCCCACCAGGTATCTCCTACCCGCGAGACACAGGTCCAGCCGGGGCAATCGAAAGATGTTTGGACAAGGGCTTGTTTCTTACACTTCCAAATAATTCACATACCAAACTAATATTAGCTGACTCTGTTACTATGTAAGTGAAATATTTTTCTCATTTTTACTTACAATATCACTATTTACTCGCATTTTCTATTACTATTACTTGTAAATTAACAATTTTGTATTGTTTTATATAACTTCTTTATTACTGTTAATAAAAATTCTTCAAAAATGAAACTAAACATAATGGATGTTCTAGTTTTTATATTGTTAAATGCTTACTATTGATATTTTCTTAAAAAAAGAAATTGATTCAATTAAACGAAAATTAGATCATTAAAAGTTATCAGTTTGATATATTCAATGTTTTAATTCATAATGTTATCACTTTTTTGTAACAATTTAAAATTGAATTAATTGTAAACATTTGTTTCCCTCATTTTGTGAGTGCCTCCTGGCGGCAATCAATTCAGAACAGTATTAAATTCGAAAATGCCCATAATTATGAACCTGTCGATGATTTTGATAAATACGTAATCGATACATTTGTTTTCGATATTCTTAGCATCCTTATCGATAATATCATGATATCGATATAAACACTGCAGAAACGGTATCGAACAATATAGACTACTGTCATAAAATAAGTTGTTTCAATAGTGCATGAAGTCCGTACTTTCTTCTCATTCTGCGCATCTGTCATTGTCCTACGACATTGAAAAACATACAAGCCACATTCCTTGCCAGGCCGTTGCGTTCGCGGGACCCTGCGGCACGCGCGTCGGGAGGTGCTGGGGGGTGGCGGTGGCGGTGGAGTGGGCGGTGGGGGGGGCGTGGCGGGATGGGTGCTTGCGGGAGCGTGGCGGGTGGCGAGGGCGGGAGGCCGGGCGCGGGCGGTGGAGTGGGGAGTGGCGCCTGTGGCATTCGCGCAGGTTCACTTCCGATCGCCGGACGCAGCGTCGCCCCCTCCCCGCGCGTCTGCGTGGAACAATCGCAGCCGCTGATGGAACGATATGCGGCGTTTTTCCACAGCGAATTTAGTGCGCGGAACGTGATAAATTGTCTGAACACTTTACTGTGTCTACAAGAAAATCATATATTTTGTTTCACTTTCCTTTTACTGCGTTGTGTTTTTTTAACAATGAGCATTTCTGGCTTTAATACATGGTTGGAATGTAGTAGAGAAACATAATTTAAATATTTTTGCTGTGGATAATTATCCGCAAGTCGTAGTAGTGAATCAGGAAGCAACTACCACTAACCGGACGTTTTTTTTCTTTTAAAAAGCTACATGGTATGGGTCTCAATTATCGTTTCTATTTACTGACAGATAGTAGAGTCAGTCATTCAAGAACTTCAGAATGCAAATGAAAAATAAAATTGATTGAAATGCGAGCTAATGGATATACCACAAAAAACACCTCTTGATTCTCATCTCATTTCATATATTTTAAGAAAGTTTTTGGAAACTCTAACAAGCATGCTCTGTTGTTTGGGTTTGTAGCATAATTAAAAGCTCTTGTTTACTATCCACATCAGTAATTTTCCAGATGCGTTAATTAACTTTGAAACTCACTTCCGCGAACGAAAACATTTTTTATCCGCTTTCCCAGAAATTGTGAAGAATTTGAGCATCGTGTAAATAGCAGTGCAACAGTGGCGTCTGCTGTGTCCACCTCGCTTACTCTCACACGCGCGTTGTCAGTTCCGTTTCTATTTGCGCAAACACCTTCGAATTTCTCGCTGCTACATACTGATATATGGTGCTTCTCCTCCTCCCTGCATTAATGCAACGCAACGTCCGCTCGCCCCGCCAACCGCCGGACCCAACCGCCCGCTCCATCGACCGCCGCAGCGCCCGTCTGCCATCGCCCGCCCATCGCCCGCCCATCGCCCATCGCCGCCCATGCGCCTCGCCGCCTGCGCCTGCCCGCCCATGCCCATCGCCCGCTCATCGCCGCTCATCGCCCGCATGCCAAAAATGCCACCTATCGCCGCCGTCGAAAGGTTCATCGCAGTGTTCAACCGCCATTGCCGTCATCACGCCTCGTCGCTGCTCGCCCGGACCGCCTCCCCCCTCCGCCTGCTCGTCATCCACCCGCCGCCCCCGCCCCGTCCGCCTGCCTGTCGGCGCGCGCGCGGTCGCTTCGTGTCGAATCGGCCATTTTGCGGTTTCTCCGCGTGGCCGGCGCCGTCGCCTCGTCCGTCGGAGGCGGAGAAATCCCCGACTGAACGTGTAGCTTTTTGCGTGGCGCGCTGAGGCGCCGCGCGCCTGCTTCGAATGGGACGCTTGCAGGCGGCCGTCGCTGCAGCTGCAGGCGGCGCTTCCATCGCAGGCAATCAAAGGCGATCGGCGGAGGTGCTCCCGCACTACGTTAGGGCTAAACATTTGACCTTAAGGTCTAATTATGTTCTTAATGAAAATGTTTCGTCTTGTATAATAATAGTTATTTATAATTCGAGTGGTAAAAAGGCCATTTAATTTTGCGGTAGGAAAAGTTGCGATACAAGGCTAATAGGATGAGTGTCGCAATTCTATACGCAAAATAAAACGGCAATTTTACCACGTGCTAATTATAACGTATTTGTACAAGGCCTAACTGACTTAAATTTGATTTTCCTCAAAGATAAAAATCACCGTTGGATCAAGCTGATGTGATCCGTCGAAAGTATTTTGTTTTCTTTGTTGCAGTCAGAGATATATCTCAACACCTAAGAATACTATAACGTTTAACACTAAAGGAAACATTAAACTTTTAGTGCGCCATGTATGCCCTGAAATAACAGTTTTTATTAGTATTTATTACCAATTACATGGTAATTTTCTGTAGGTTTTCTTTTTGAAATAATTACTGAACTTAACATTTATTAAGTTAATTAAGTATTAAGTAAAAAAAAGTATTAATAAAATTTCGTTTGTCACAATTATAAAATGATACGTGCGCGAAAGATGATTTTTTCATCCTAGGACGGATAGATTGAAAATATCAATATCAATTTTTGGTTTTAACTATGAAATGCAAGTAGTTAACACCCGACGGAATTATTTTTGTCAGCAGTCAAGACCTTGATTATTTTTAAACGCAAGATACATTTTTCATTTTCTCGTTACCCAGACATATCTGGTACTACCAGTCGAAGGTCAGGGTTGTAATTATTCAACTTTCCCTTCGCATAAATCTCGACAAGCATATTCATGAGATCCAGCAGTGCAGACGTGACTGCGCTACGATGCGGCGAAGTACCCTTTCTAACGCATTGCCGCCTGGGTTACTCGCAGAAGTAATCTCCAGGTGCGGGTCTATAATGCTTCGGCAACCGCTAAATTTCCTATCCGAGTCAGGTCACGGACGTTACACCCGCCTCCGGTGCCTCTGCATTTCCAGCAATATATTTATCTCTTTGGCACCGAGCCAGAAGAAGCCGCTCGCGGCCGCCTACGAGAATGGCGCCTGTCGCGTCTGCAACCCGTTCAGCGCTGCTGCAAACGGGCTGCAGATTTCGCAGGCGCCCTGCAAGAGAGACAGTCGCGTCTCTTAGACTC